ATACAAACAAATAGTTAAAGCCAAAATTCAAAATTCTAAATGTGGATACCTATGGTGAGGTCTGACCCTTCTTATTTAATCAAATTTCGACCAACTTCCCAGGTTAACCCCAGTGTTGGCCAATGTGTTCCTGGGTTCTTAATATGACAAGCAATGAGCTTGTTTTGGAGTTCTCATGTCCTATGATGGGTTTTGGCTTAAAACTGGAACCTACTTCGGGGATGGATGTGACCAATGTAGTCTAGGACACTCGATATGTCCTTGGTACCAGCAAATCCCGATTAACAATTTCCCTGTTTTTCCCGTTTTTTCCCAGAATTTTGGAAATTTTCCCGGTTGTGCGATAACATTTAAATTAAGCTTTAAACCGAATGCAAATAAGCCAAAAGGATCACTTAATTAAAAGGGGTTTTTTTTCTCTAGTCGGGAAATAAATCCACTGCGAGTAAGTTGATCTATTGCAGTTTTAGATTGGGTCATTACTAAGACAAGCAGAATTGTGAATGTTGAATGTGTTTCTGCGTTCGAAGTCTTTAAAATTTGTCGATGTTTTAACCACCTGGAAAATTCGCTTAGAACTCTTTACAGGATTTCGTTGGAATTTCATCAAGAAGTTATTTTAGAATAGTTCCCGATCACAGAGTTCTTTTCAGAGTTCGGAGATGAACTAGCCATAGGCTAAAAATCTCCTTAATGAAGAACTAAAAAAAAATTAAAGGACTGTGTCCTAGGCACGACCGCAGTATGACGTAAAAAATTGTTTTTACTTATATTGTGATTTGCTTAAAATGTATTTCCCGGAAAAAAGTGATCGTGAAAGTCCATGTTTTTTTTTTTTTTTTTTTTTTTCCTTTATTTACAAGGCTTTCAGCCATTGGCTGGTTCGCCTTGGGAATAGAAAGTCCATGTCTTTTTCGGGTTGTTGTTAAGGGGGGGAGGGGGTTTTACATACATAATTTTCCAGGTCTCATTCCTCATTGTGGTGGTAATGGTCACGCCGTGATCCATCTTTAGCCGCTGACTTGGTCCTCTTTGCTGCAGGACCTAGTGCCACGCCATCCGAAGCGGTAATGAGCAGAGTCAGGAAAGCACCGCTGTTTTATATCTTTTCAGGGTCAAGCAGAATGGTGTGCAACCAAGTGGTATTCGTTTATGATGACTGGGTTTGGGAAAACGTTTAGTTCATAAAAACAGTGATAAAATTATCATTCGCGCATTTTTCAAAAGTTTTTTGATTAAAAATTGGAAAAGTATTTATTCCAGCAGATTCGTCAAGTAATCTCCTATCGATTGGCGTATTTGGATTTTGATTTCATCTATAAATGACAAAGTTACAAGCGTTCAAAACCTAACACTATTTCACCACACATATTTTTTGATTTGTATCCCAGTATAGTCGACAAAGACGTAGTTCTACGTCAAAAAAATGTCAGAATTCCTCTAAAATAAAATTGGGATTCTCTTTGGGAGTCCTCAAAAAAAAAAAAAAAAAAAAAAAAAAAAAAAAAAAATATTTATAATAGGGTAGAGCGCTACTTCGTCGTAATCGCCCATTTCCGTTCTATCGATCAGCAAAGATCAATAATATCTATGATTTCACCGTGCACAAATCAATAATAGGTTTGTTCCGATACGTTAGTTCATAACCTACAACATAAATCCTGTTAGAGCGCATTGTGTGAATATTTACGCTCATTGTTCTCAAAACAAAAGAAGCGTTCCTACCGAATCCCCTTTTTCTACGTTTATCCGTAGGACGAAGAAAATTTAATGGCGTTTCAATGCATTTGGACAGAATTGAAACTCGTAGGACAAATTTAGAATCAAGAAGCAGTGTTAGATTTTAAACAATATCTCAACAATTTGTCACTCTTTATCAAATCCAACAGTACGTATGGAAAGGTGAATCAATTTAGAAGTCGTCTTTGAAAGAAATATTACATTTTTTGTTCAAACCCGTTCAAAAAAGAGAGGTAAAGCGCGGGTTGAGCTTAGTAGGACGGAAATTAGATCAAAAGCCCTAATCCAGAAATTCTCTACAGGACGCTCAAAAAAAATATTGGAATTCATTCTAAGATTCTCTTTAGCTCTATAGTTCTATTTCAAATTCGCATGAATTCTCCCATGCAAGTCAGAACCTCAGAATTGTGTTCAAATTATCTTGAAGGTTTCATCTAGATTCAACTGAAAATTCACTTGAATTCTCCTTAGAATTCTCTAGGAAATTCCTCTCAAGATGTCCTTAGAATTAACCTCGAAAGTCCCTTAAAATTCTTGTCAGAATTTCTACGGTTCCCTTGATATTTCTACTGAATACCCATAGAATTTCTTTAGAAATCATTTTTCAATCAATACCCGTATAATATCATTGGAATTCTCAACAGATTTCTCTTGAAATTCATCTTAGAATTTATTTATAATATTCATTAGAATTTGGTAGAGGATTCTACACAATCCTCATAGAATTTTCCACGGAACTACTTAAAAAGTATATTTGGACTATCACAATTGTCTTGGTGTTCTACTCAAAACACTTTTTAAGTTCTTCCCAAATCCCCAATCTCTAGAATTCATTCTAAAATCCCCTCAACATATCTAAGGAATGTTCTTCTAAATTATCTCAATAGTTGTCCAGAGTGACTGTTTCCTTAAAATCTAGTCCAGTTGAAGGGTCTTAAATTTCGGAGATGAACCAGCCTGCGGCTGAAAAACTCCTAAATAAAGAGAAAAAAGGGTCTTAAATGTTTTTCAAAGTCCAGAATCTTATTAAGATTTTTCCGAAGAGAGGACCAAATAGATTTTTTCTCGATTTGTCATCAAAATTCACGGACATTTTTTGAGTTTTGTGACTTATAAAACTCTTCGTGATTCTAGAATTCTAAAATAAAAACAGTTTTGGTCGTCAATCTGGAGCTGAGAAAAATTCTTAAAATGAAGGATTGTGAAAAAAATTCCAATATTCCAAATTTAGTCCTGAACAATGTTCATGGCTTTGGAACTTGAAAGCGTTTTAAAGAGATTTTAGGAAATTTTCTAGTAAATTTGAATGGAATTGAAGTGTTAATTTAATAAAATAGACTGAGGAGGATTCTTAAAAAAAATCTGGGAAAAAATCTAAGATAGTTCTGACATGATAATTTTAAAATTTTGTTTTAAGAAATTCTGATTTTTCTGGGAAGCAATTTTGCCATTGGAAGAATGGAGAACTTAACTGCCCATAATCGCATATCAATCCCATATTTGCTTGATTTCCTATCCATATGGGACTGATATGCGATTATGGGTAGTTAAGGAGAAGCTCCTAGAAGAGAATAGCAGAGAATTTTGATGCAAATGTAATGACAATAGTAAGCAGAATTTAAAGGGTGTTCTGGACGATGATGTCAAAGGAATTCAGAAAAGAAGCTCAAGGGAATTCCGAGAAAAATATCAAAAGGATCATTCTGAGAATAATTGCAAAAAAATGAGAACTTGAAAGTCATTCTTAAGAAACTTTCCAGAAAAGAATTCGAAGGAAGAAGAGAGAAGTAGAAGAGAATATCTGAGGTAGGGTCATACTTCCCTAAGCGGTGTTAGTTTGCGTGGAGTTTCGACAAATTGAATACAATACTTTTGATTACAAAAGCAGATACTTCTACTTTTAAATTCATCCTAGAATTCCAAAGGATTTATGAGATTAGAATTAATTATTCAAATCCCACCGGAACCCGTAGATTTTATTTTAGCATTTTTTTACAAACACGCTGATCCAGTTCGTAAAGTTAATATATAGGTTTAATTGATTCCTACCGGATAAAGGTCATTTGAATTGTTACCAACTTGTTACGGACTCTTGTAAAATAATCTCAGTGTGTCTATGCTTTGATTCGCAGTATCTTCTAATTTTTCAATATTCTTGCATTTAAATACCACGGTTGAAATATACTTTTACGTTTTGGTTTAGCTCAATAATACATGTTTTATTATTTTTTATACTTTTTTGTCCCCCCTCGCCAGATTGGAGCGTGCTGTGACAAAAGTAAAAATATTAATTTGTTCCAAATAATAACGGAATGTTTTGGCATTCTGAAGCCTAAGCTAAGATATTTTTGTGAATAAAGGAATGGTTGAATGTTTTGAATTCATAGTTAAGACACAAGTCCTTAACATCGCAAAGAATTGAGCTTAACCTTTAAGGTTTATTCATTTAAAACAATGAAAATTCACGTTATTTACTTTAGAATTAAAATGAAACGTCTGGAAGCTATCAGATATTAAACTTTATAAATTTCCGACGAATAATAAATTAAACTGTATTTATGCTAAGTAGCCGATAATGGCGAAACAATGCGGAACAACGCTTGGCAGTTCCTTAAATATAAGCTCAGCACTTTGATCTTAACTCCCTTCCACACTGATCTTAACTTTCGGTGCCAATAGGTGATGTGGAACCTGCGGTGCACACTTAAGGTATGGGTTTGTCCTCCGCTCCTATCATCATCACCATCGCACTTTGTCTTGTTGACTACTACGCCGGGAGAACACCTAGGGTAACTGACGCTATTTTCGGCCTAGGCACATGTCTCGAGTACATCCATACTTCTTCTCCCGGATAAATGTATAACAAAAGACTCAACTATCCCTAAATACCTATTTTGCGAACATAATAAATAGCATGTCTAAACCCGAACACAACTACCCTAGGATGGAGACAAACTCGCAGTTTTCAGAAAATATTATGCGAGAAAAGTGTGAGAGTATCTGTCCAACGTTCCCCCAATAACCAGAAAACGAACACCGAAAGTCGAAAGCAAGACCGCAGCGGAAGAGTGAGAGCTGCGAGTCGAAAATATCTATTTTAAGATTTTTCACATAAGCTAATAAAAAGTTCTAAATTAAAACTACCTCCACGGAATAACTCTGCGCTAGCATTTCGCAGCTCTGTTGTACCTTCGGAGCGATTTGTCCACGGAATTATCATTACTACATAATCGAATTCTTATGCTGCTGCACCAACTTACCTTTCTTCCTCTTCTTGTCCTTGCGCTTCCTTGGCTGGACGTCTCCGGACATTCTTCAATGGCACTTAGCTGACTTATCAGATAGAAATAAATACTAAAACTTCACTACTTCAAGCCACAAATTCACTGCTGTAATAAAGAAATATGGAAACTTCAATGATCAGCCACAATAATGCTAAGGGCAGAGTATCACTTTCTTGAGCTACCGGGGCTTAAACCTAGAATCAAAATAATATCAACCGGAAGACGAACCTGTTGCCCAGATGGCTTCTTATCGCAGTTTGTCGCGAGAGTCTTCACCGCACGACGGGAACACTTCGACTGACCAGCGGTATGCTTTTTTCTTCACGAGCGAGAACGATTTGCTTCTAGCTTTGCGCTGCCGGTCAAATAATTTCTAGCTCGGATCTTTCACTTTTGCTACTGCATGCTAGCCTCTACCTAGTAAGGGATGGTGGGTGATCGCTTGCATTAATATTAATATAATCTCTGTTCGCTCTGTTCCTTCTCTTGTGTTGGATTGGCTGCTGGCGGACTAAGCGGTCTAAAATAACGGTACATTGAGTAAAAACAAAAATAAAACTGATAACAAAAACAGCGTTGCCGGCGATTCTATAGCTCTTTACTCCTATTGTATAATCCCATAAGAATCTGTCGGTCTGTGCTTGAAACATTATGGACTTTATCTTACCCATTCACTCCAGTGAAAAATCCCATAAGAAACTGACAATCTTTGCGTGAAGAGACGGTAGACGGTGCCGTACGATGTCAATTATCAAGGTCTCACCCAACCGGCTATTGGCGTTGACGGCGACTCTGTAGCTCTTTACTCCTATGAGAAAATCCATAAGCAAACGTCAGACTGTGCGTGAAACATGGCGGGCTTTGTACTATCCTTTCACTCCACCGAAAATTCTCATAAGAAACTGTCTATATTTGCTGGAAGAGCAAATTTTTCGACGGTGCCGTCAACGCCAATTAGTGAAATGTAGAAATCAGGCATAACATTTGATAACGGCACAAAAGCATTTGTAAACAAACTTTCTAAGGCCATTTACACGCGAACCAAAGTACGCCCACGCAAACCAATACTACTTTCGGAAAGGTGATAGTTGCCCCTAACCGATGATGTTGTTTGATTGCGTGGGCGTACTATGGTTCGCATGTAAAGGGCCTTAGAAATGTTCAGTGGTTTTGTATTTCATCGCAATGCTTACTTTTTAGTTCGTGTGTGCACGAAACAGCTGTTTTCTGTGACGACACGTCTGCTATTCGCAGTATGGAATGTTGGGCTGCCGTGACATAGTCATTCTCTTGCTCAGCAATGTTTACAACATTTTTGCTTCTAACACCAGCATCCTGCCAGTTGTTCTAGACCTTGTATAATTGACATCGGGTGCCGTCAACACCCAATGACGTTTATATAAGGTCCGGGCCAACATGCAGCTTGCTGGTGTTAGAAGCAAAAATATTGTAAACATTGCTGAGCACTCATGTGACGACGTCACTCTACCATAACATTCTATACTGCGAACAGTCACTGCCAACAACTGTTTCGTGTAAAAAGATAAACATTGCAGTGAAATACGAACACCACTAAACATTAAATGTTTTTTTGTTCATTTCACTAAACCAATAACCCGCATAAACGCGAACCATAAATTGACCTTACCTAAAATGGTTAAAAATTGTTTATAATCCCTGCTAAACTTTAACTGAAATGGTTATGGAACTTTACATGAACGTTTAATGATAAAGTTTCAACCTTATGTATTATGGTTTTTTGGAAATGGACCTTACAAATAACGGGTTGTTAAGAACCATTACCATTCCAAATTCTTGTTTTCTCCATACATTTTCAGAAAGAGAACTATATAAGAACGTTTTTACTTATGATTTGAGAACATTAATGGTAATGGTTATGGTAGTCAGTAAGGTCCATTAATGGTTTTGTATTATCGCTCAACTTTACGTGGAATATATCGTGAATTGGTAATCAGTAAATTACAGGCAACCAATTCGCGATATATTCCACATAAAGTTGATCGATGTTACAAAACCATTCGTGGACCTTACTGACTACCATAACCATTACCATTAAAGTTCTCAAACCATAAGTTAAAAGGTTCTAATATAGTTCTCTTTCCGAAAATGTATGGAGAAAACAAGAATTTGGAACGGTAATGGTTCTTAACAACCCATTATTTGTAAGGTCCAGTTCCAAAAAACCATAATACATAAGGTTGAAACTTTATCATTAAACGTTCATGTAAAGTTCCATAACCATTTCAGTTGAAGTTCAGCAGGGATTATAAACAATTTTAACCATTTTAGGTAAGGTCAATTTATGGTTCGCGTTTATGCGGGAAGCCTGTTGGCCCGGACCTTATATAAAGGACATTGGTTAACACCGTCAACACCACCATGTGAATAGACTTCTCTGACGTTTGTGAATTGCACAAGAATTAGTGCAGAACTTTGGGTAAATGGAAAGGTTTTCTTGCACTAACACTTATAATTTACCCCAAGTTCTGCACTAACCTTGTGCAATTCATAAACGTCAGAGAAGTCTACACGGCGAATGTGAACAACCCAAATTTGAGTTTAATTCACTCATAATCGACAAAATTGCAGGAACTCCCCTAATAAACAAATACCGTAATCGAACTGTAATCCGGATAGTAGAACTATTCCGCAAACGGTTTGGATGATACCCCGAACACGTCGTTAAGGGGAAGCTCACCGGCCCAAAAATAAAAAAATATTTTTGGTACGTTTTTATTTTTCTAAAAATATTGGGAAAAATTATCAAAAATCCAAGAAAATCAGTTTCTTCCTTACACGAAACGAAAATCAATTAGGGGAATTTACGTATTCTCGTCAATCTAAGCAGCTTCCGCACTTCTATTAGCATTTTCTCAGTGTCACGCACACATATGACGTGTCTGTTTGTTTACATTCATCTGCTGCTAGCTATTCTATCCATTCCAATCAACAAAACTGTCCAAAACTGTTTGAAAACGTTTTTAAGGCGCTCCAAACTTCTCAGGTGTGTGTGACTATTGTCGGCAGCCTCTTTTACTTCGGCAACCTTTCCGTTTAAACTGCGTGTAAACCAGCTGTTCTATTATCGGCAACTCGAAATCAGCCGTATTTTGATGTGCTTATGTTTCTTTTTAAGAAAGAGCTAGCATAACAGGTTTGCTCAGTCGTAAAAATGTATTAGGATTGAAGCTGAAAGACTAAGGAATTGTTTGAATACATTCAGCGAAGTGTTTTAGTGAGAAAATACATCGAAATTAACGTTTAAATTGTGGTTGCCGAAAACAGTCGATGGCTGCCGAAGCCATCATTTACCCTATCTTATTCATGTCTTTCACTTATACATTTTTGCCAAAACATCAGCCTTATACATGCCATAAGACAAACCTCATGCGTCCTATAAGAATGCTTAAAAGGTATGTGTGATCGCTTATACATTTCATTTGACACATGATCTTTATTAACTATTTGCAAGGCGACTGCTTATTAGTTGACTTATACATTTTATGAATAATTAGCAATAGAAATTTGCCAAAAGATATAAGGAGATTTATATCCGTGTAGATTATTGTCAAAAATTACATGCAAAAAATTTTTTTCTATCCCATCATGAAAAAAAATTGGACTCCCAGAAAAACCGAAGAGTTGATGTTTTGTGGTTTTTTGAGTCCAACTTTATGCCATAATGACTTATAAAACATGTTTTTGCACGTGAATTTTCTTTAAAAAATTAGAAAAAACGTGATTTTTTGTTAGATTTTTGATACTTTTTTTCAATATTTTTAGAAAAATCAAAACGTAATTTTTTTTTCGAAGCGGTGAACTTTTCCTTAAGCTCTTTCTTATGGTTATTTTTATTAGGGTCAGCGATGAGTAAAATTTGTCTCATGGTTTCCTGTGGAAAACCTAAAAAATCTGCCGGAAAATGAGGAAATTGACGAAAATTTTATTCAGTCTCGGAGTAGTACCAATAGACTAAGTGAATCCAATCTTTACTTTTCTCTAATTCGGAAATTTTTCCCTATAAAATCCTGGAAAAACCTGGGAAAACATGTGGCAAATTTACTCATCGCTGAGTTCCTGCACTTTTGGCGATTATGAGTGAACTAAACTCAAATTTGGGTCGTTCTCATTCGCCGTGTATGTCAGTCTGAAGTCCACCCAGGGATGCCAGATTTTAAGACATTTACATTTACAGATTTATCTAGCGTTCAGAATCATAATGGCCTAACTGCGATGATCGATTCTCTGCAGTGATTTTCTCTTTTGTTAATAATTCGGTAAATTTAACATTTTTTGGTGTTTTGCTAGTCGGAGATGAACTAGCCATAGGCTAAAAATCTCCTTAATAAAGAACTAAAAAAAACGGTGTTTTGCTAGCTTATGCATCCTTTTAGTACTCTGTACTGGAACAGTTACAGAAAATTGGTTCACATAACTATAGTAAAACGAAGAGAAAATCTGCGTTAGGCCCTTATGATTCTGAACGCTAGAATTAACAAGCTGAACAATGCATTAGGTCCTAAGTAACATTGATAGATCCTTTTCGTCGACGTTCTTTTTGCATTCTAAGGGAACATATGCATAAATGACGTAGCATTTGAGGAGGGAGAAGGATTTCAGATTTTGTACAGCAAAATACGCTATGAGGGGGTCTTAAATTGGTCAGAAATATACTACGTCATTTATAGATGGTCCCTAAGAGCAACCGTACCAATGAGTAAATAAGGCACATTTACCAACCTCTACCATAACGCTACTTGCGTACCGGAGGTTGCTATTCAGGTGGGGGAAATAGCAATCCGCACCTTGGTAAGTAGTGAGTTCATAAATTTAGCAACCCGGTAGCAACGCATCAGACGGTTGCTATTTTGAATAAACGTCAAAAGTTTGTTTTGCCGGTGTGGAAAACGGTAACTTAAATTATGACTCTTAAGGCCCACCCACATTAGATCCGTTTGCGTTGCGTTGACGTAAATTTGACAGTTAGACAATAGATTTAGCTGTCACTTTGCCGCAACGCGTCCGATCCGGATCTAATGTGCGTGGGCCTTTATAGCAACGACCGGTGTGGAGAGTAGTGATCAAGCCAAAATGGAAACGCTGTGGGTAAGTAAAATAGTGCCGCAAATGGCAACGACTGGTACGGTTGCTCTAAAGGCCTTGTTAAAACATTCCCAGCTCAAGGGATAACTCCCTCTGCCACACGCTGAAAAATTTATCATCGAAACTAAAATATTTGAGGTAAATTTAAACGTAAACTCAGTTTGATCTGGCCACAAAAATAAACTAAGTTGATTGTAAACTTTTTGTGAATCTATCTATCTATCTATATATATAAAAATGAATTTCTGTCTGTCTGTCTGTCTGTCTGTCTGTCTGACCCTTATAGACTCGGAAACTACTGAATCGATTGGAGTGAAATTTTTTATACAGGGGTTTTTGGGGCCGTGGAAGGTTCTTATGATGGTTCGAGACCCCTCCCCCTTCTGTAAGGGGGGGGGGCATACAAATGAAACAGAAATTTCTGCATAACTCGAGAACTAATCAAGCAAATGGAACCAAATTAGGCATGTGGGGGCGAGTGTGTGAGTATAAGGAGATAATCATAGGGGGTAGCCCCTTAGATAATAGGGGGGGCTACGTACAATATAGCATGCTTTTTTTTTAAATCGGCGCATAAACTCAAGCTAATATTGAATCCCGAGCAAGACCGGGCACACTCAGCTAGTTTGATATAAAAATAATGTTAAGTTTACTTTAAAAATATTCGTGTTGCAAATAAACGTGAATATTTTTGTTTGAATTGACAACAGTAGAGTTACTCTGTGAACAAAAATAGATATGTTAATTTTAAACATGCTTTCCTTTTTTTAAACAAACACATATTAGCGAGTATTTCATACCGGCCTTTTTCTCCGATCGGTGTCGGGGTAGGGAGAAGGATCTGAAATGGATTTAGAATTAATTTTGGATTTTCGTTTTTCTTTCGACGTCTTGCGTGGGGAGGGTTGTATCGTTATATAATAGAGGTTATATGGGACCCCGCATCATAAACGACGGAGTGACGTTGATATTGTGGGGTTCCGCCGGTTTTGTCGAGCTGGAACTTTATTTGGCCATCTGCCTAGGTGGGTTTCCGGATCCTTCACTTCGGCTTCACCGCATGCGGGCCGTTTTCGGTGCAGTTCCGAAGAATAGCTAGAGCTGAATTCAGCCTGTTTTAACTACGAAGCGGACTAGAATGCGAGGAGGACAGGTATCCCAAATAACCATATGGAGGTAACTTTCTTGGATGGAAAGAGAAACAAGTCTACTTCAGTTCACGTTCAACTAAAAACTAATCATTTATTTTCAGCTTCGCGCGGTACACACCAAAATATCCCTTCTATTCCCTTTTTCTCTTTTACTAATTTTTGTTTCGTGAGTGCTTGCTCTTCTGCACGACCACAACGCTGCCAAAAGGCCAAAAGTAAAAAGAAGCGAAGACATTATATCAAGAAGACTGGCAACTTTGCCAGAATCCAAGCGACAGATACAGTAGCGCTGCACTGGGGTGAAGGTGCGGAAGCAGCGGATTGAAAGATGAGCAAATACACAAACTGAAGAAACAGAAGAAATTCTGAGGTTGTAATCTTTGCTATCAAATTCGTTCGTTACCTTTGAGCGTCAGATGACGCGATTGTGCCTGTCTCATAGCGGTCGAATGAGAAACAGGAACAGTTGCCAGTCTTCTTGATATATTGTCTTCGAAAGAAGGAAACAAGAAGGCAATAAGAGACGCTAAAAATCGTTTACCCAAATTATATATGGTTGAAATAAACATACCTTTATATTAACCGCTTCATTCGAGCAGTTAAAATCAGGCATAACATTTGATAACGGCACAAAAGCATTTGTAAATAAACTTTCTAAGGCTTTTTACACGCGAACCAAAGTACGCCCAACAATCAATACGAAACCAACGATTTTAAATTGGCTCACTACTTGACTAGCCTATTGGTCCCAAGCAAACGATTAACGAATCCCATTCTAGTCGAAATTCTACTACTACACAATGTTTTGATTCGCTATGAAAGTTTGACAGATAAAATGAGGGGTTATTGGTTTTTCCTATGTTTCGAGGGGTGAATCGATTAGCTTGGGACCGAAGAGAGTACCAGAGCTGAGCCAAAAAGTTGAGCACGTTTCTTCGGGACCTACTAGTCTTAGAGTTACCTCTATGGTACGCCCACGCAAAACAATACCACTTTCGGAAGGTGATAGTTGCCCCTATCCGATGATGTTGTTGGTTTTTATGAGCGTACTTTGCTGCTAACTGCTCTACAATATGATTAATTTTGGTTTATTTGCTATTTTTCACAACAATAGTGAGAGGGACTGAAACAGAAAGAAGTCGCTTAACATAAATTTGAGTTTAAAAAACCCAAACTTTGGGCAGTTTTATTTAGAGCCATCTGCTCTAAAAAAACTGCTTTTTTGAATATTGCTCACCGCCCTTGATTTTTGACTCGAGATTGGGCCCAACTCGATCGACTGTTGCAACGCACCTACTTTTGACTGTCAAAAATCATCATCTTTTCCAAACATGTCACGCATACTGGCATGGACTTCTCTGCGTGCGATTGTGTTGGTTTGTACGTACACATCATTTCACTTACTCCATCACAAAAATCGTGATGGAAAACAAACAGCTGTTACGGCAAATTAAACAGGATTTGTTTTCATCCACCAGCTCAGCTTAGTGTTCGTGACATCTTGCTGTGAAAAGTCTACCGCTTCAAATAGGTTGTGTGCGTATCGGAAAGGTGTTTTGATGGCTTTCTGCCATCAATCCCCAGTGCAAGGGAATCGTCGTCGTCTCGTTCGCTAGCGGACATGATTCAAAAAGACGAAAAAAAGAACTCCCATCAGCAGCAGCAGTGTTAAGTAAAATGGTGCAACTTTAGACTTTAAATTTCTCCGTGACGACGTGCTTTTTTCTGGTTAAGTCAAGTGGTCAATCAAAGACAGTAAATTGGTCGTGTGGTTGCGGAAGTGCTCGGTGCGGATCGGAACTCGGATTGAGTATTTTCAGTGGATTTTTACTTCGGCTCAGTGATGGCAGTGGAAAGTTTTTCTCGACTCGCTTAATGGCGTAGAAACAGAAAATCGCGAAAAAGTGTGGAGGATTTTTTTTAATCAAAGATTTTCCTTGGATTTGGGATTGGGATAATTTAGTGAGTGGGTTGAATAACATGGAAGACGTGCAAGTGATAGACTGTCCTCCGACGCCGGAGATTCTGCTGGGCTCGGCAACTCCGCCTTCGACGTCGCTGCTGGATATGCTGGATAGTTCCTCATCGGCGGAAGAGCTTGACAACTGTTCCGGAGAGGTCGGTGATGGTCCGGCAGAAAGTGGCCGCAGTTCGCCTCCACCCAAGTGTGCCATCTGTCTGGGCAAGTGCCGTCAAAAGTGCTACACGGATTCGTGTCGTCATCAGTTCTGCTATCGTTGTCTGCTCGAGTGGAGCAAGGTAACTATACCTAGTCTCGAACGCCCTCTCTTCTTCTAATGGGGAGCTGACTGTTGCCGTCTGTGTCTTTGTGTGTACGCTTGTCGGGTTCGGGGGAAGTGGAATCCAATAATTATGATTCATGTTATAAAACAATGCTAAATTGTATATGTAGCTCGTGGGAGGAAGCGAAACATTGAGATGCATCTAATCCATTTCTTTTCAGATCAAAGCCGAGTGTCCCCTGTGCAAGCAAGTGTTCCGGTCGATTATCTACAACAAGAAGACGTACGACCGCTACCAGGAGCATTCAATCTCGATCGTTCCACCGGCATCGTCACCAAATTACTCCACTCAAGGAACCGGATCTGCCGGGGGAGGAGCTGCTCGAACAGCCCCTCAAGTGTACCACAGATTGGATTTCACTTTGTCCCAGCCACCTCGCTTCACATACAGTGCAACGCTCCGAGTCCAACCGAGTCAAAACGAACGACTACAGCAGCTGTTTCTGCATCAGTCCGGTGATGTCCAACGCTTTAGTCGGGAATTCCCGGACGATTCTATTCCGTCGAGACAGAATGGACCCGAGTGGAGACGTTACATATACCACAGGCGAATACATGCTAGATCACTGCCCGATATCAATGGAAGGATGAGGGAATGCAGCGCAGCTTTCTATAGGTAAGTGGTCTACTGGATTACAATTCCAAAATCTTAAATGGTCACAATTTGTTCTTCTAGGGAAAACCCCGCCCAAATCCATCGTCTGATGCCGTGGATCAATCGGGAGCTGGTAGCTCTTTGCCGCAACAATCCCGCTCAGGTGTCAATAATAATAGAGGACTTTCCTAACCTCCTGATGACACACGACATCACATCGCCAGCATTCCGTGAGCGAGTTTGCTACTGGGGCCGTGCTCGGACTGCCCACTTCATCCACGAGCTGCTAAACTTTGCGCGCTCGCCGTACGATATAATCGGATACGACCGATCCGTTCACTATGATCCTTACTACAACAACAACGTTGTGGTGCTTTCATCCTCATCGTCGTCGTCTTCCGGTTCCGGTATGTCCGCTTCCGAAGGAGAAGACGATGTTGTACGGGTAGTGGAACCATCGCCAGGCCCCTCAGGGTCTTTGGAAACCGGAGGCGGCCCAAGTGGGAGTAGTAGACGAGGACGAACGCAATTTACAATCGAAACTAGATCCTCGGATCAGACTGTGATTATGACGGGATCATTTGGAGGAGCCGGAGTCAGTGGAATCGTATCGGTTTCCACTTCCGGAACGCAGCAGCAAAACGGGGCCGGAACCAGCACCAGCGGATATCCGGATGTGTCGCGAATGCAACCACTGACCTCGATGGTACCTCAGCCACCAGTAAACCGTTTGGAGGACGGTGAAAACATTTCACTCTCGTCCAGTGACAGTGACGACTGCCGGATAGTTGGATCGCTTAAACCGCCTCACCTCCGAACCCCGGAAATGGTTAGTTTAGAATCGGACAGCGACAGTGACGTTGTCTTTGTAAACGAACAAGCTAGCAGCGGACGAAACCAAACGATGGTTAACAATACCATGCTGGAGCAACTTTTTCCGGAAAATCTACTCACTCAAGAACTGGCCAAACTGGAGGATCACGTTTTCGCTTCCGAGTACAACAACGGAGCGTCAACGTCTTCCGGTGGCGGCAGTGCTAGTGGCGGCATGAAGAAGTACTATGCTAAACCTCGGCTGAACCGTCCCGCTGACGGAATCGGTCATAAAAGTATCTATGAATCCAGCGAGTCGGAGAAAAGCCAGGCGGAACCGAGCATTCCGAGCGATTCGGAGTCCTCCAGTCACGACGAGGTCAAGTTCAATATTCGCACTCAAGCTCCGGTTGGCATTCGTAAGCGGAAAGCTACCAAACGTCGACAGGCCACTCCATCCGGTAGCAGCAGTGATGCGAGTTCCACTTCCGACTCGGAAAGCAGTCCATCGTCCAGTGGCTGCAGCTCAAGCGCTAGTTCCAGTTCCGGAAGTGAAAGTGACAGCAACTTTATCTCGGGCAGCTCCCCGAAAGCTACCCGGAAGCATCCCCGGCGATCGAAAGTTCACTCCTCCCGGAAATCTTCCAAACGGCGTCGGAAAGAAGCGCAACCGAAACGTTCCAAAGCCAAAAAGCGTAAGAGCTCATCTTCCAAGCACAGCAGCAGCAGCAGCAGAAAACGCCCCAAGCTCCAAATTGCAAAACTACCCCCGAAAAGCTCATCCGAGAGCGGCAAGGGTACGTCCGTGTCGTGCAATTCTGGCCCTTCGGCGGAGGTCCTTCCCAGTGGAAGCATTGCATCCCTAAAACCCACCAGCACTTCATCCAAAAAGCGCAAGGTGAGAAGCGCCGTCATAAAACCGAATACAGCCACAAAGACTGTCCGTCCCCAACAGGCGACCACATCGAAAAAGCGTCGGAAAGCACCGATCTGCTCGGAACTCATCACTAGCACGGACTTTTCCAGCGATGAAAACCAACCGGAACTGACCCAACAACCAACGTCTGCACCGGTTAACGTTCAGCAAGGAGAGTCTCTGGATTCCAGCTCGGGTGAATCGGGCTCGGGCACATCAGACAGCTGCACGATTGCCTCATTGATACGGGCAACGAAGGTGGATGAGCGGCCGGAAAAACAGAATACGTCTAGCAGTAGTTGTAGCAGTAGCAGCAGCACTAGCAACAGTAGTTGCAGTCTTGCAGGTGGCAATTCGGAACCATCGAGTCAGCCAGCAACCCATCATGAACCGGTGGATGAAGAGGAAGACGATGCAGATGAGGAGGAGGAGGACGAGAATAATCAGTCGCTGGGGTCGACCGGCGGTGAGGAGATGGAAGTGTCGGTGGCGCAGGTGATCGCCGTTGGAGCCGAAGTGGAACTTTGAGATTTACTAAGGACTGTGGAGTTTGACGAGTGGTGATAGAGCAGGAGAGGAGAATCGGCAGAGGTGAGCGAATTAAAATTAGTTACTGATAACTGATAGGGCGCTGTGCATGAGTGCACGGTTGGTTTATCAATACGCATTGCGTTGATTATGCAACATTTCGTGGAATACCAAATTTCGTGGAATTCCGTGAAACGAAATTCAGTTTTATAGCTGACATGCACATTTTGTGTTGACGATAACGAGTAGGGTCGGGTGGGGCAAGAGTGCAACCTACCTTATCAATTGTACGTTCTATATATGCCAAATAGTGGATATTTATAGGAGTTTCTTTCTACCCCGTATTGCAACTTCATATTATTGCCTTCATACAACAGCAATGTAATGCAAATTATATCTCGTCAAAAGTTGTTTACGATTTATTCAAAATGTCATCTCAAATCTTTTTTTGAAACTGCAATGGGGCAAGAGTGCCAACCAATGAAATCAAATGAAAACTATTGTTATTGATATTTTATGTAACTGGTTTTGTCGAATTTGGTCAAAACAAGCTTACCGAAGACTTAAATGGGCAATGAAGCAATTTCTTTTACATTTTTGTATAATTTTGGCACTCTTGCCAAGGGAATATTTATATATTCTTTGTTATTGGTGTTTCAATTATTCATTATTAGTGATGCCTCAATGCAGGAATTGTAGAAAACAATATTTGGAAATTCCAAAATCCTTATGTAATGATGGCTAATTATTATAAGTAATTTCGATTTTTGACGCATCAGCACAAAATGATTTTTTGCAATTTTTGTAATACTTCATTTTGGACAGAACTTTCTATAATGCTGCATAGGAACACCATTCATAGTTTCATGGGTGAATTAGCAATGAAAACATGTTATAGGGGGTGGCACTTTTGCCCCAGCCGACCCTACGATTTTTTTTTTTTTCAATCTTTATTAAAGAGAGTTTTAGCCATCTCTGCCCGACCCTACGAGTTATTCCCCCAGAAACAGCTGTTGTCTCCACCAGACTACGAATATGGTGACTAACATTATGGTGGGTCAACTTTAGAAACGTCATGCTCCCCACTGCCCTTTCGATGTGTATTTTAGATGAATTTGGCTGTGATCTGGATTAGCGGGAGAACTTTCAAATTTGAATGGTAAAATGTATGAAGAACCAAAAGAAAATATAATTTACTAACCAAAAATTCACACACACACACACACACACACATTGCTCAATATTGCCCACAACTGAGACTTGCATTGTACAAACTAGGGGAAATGAATTTAATGTCGGCCTAAATGCCCCTAATTTGTGCCCATACATATATGCAGCAATCGACTAAATTTTAGAGACCTAAAATATCCCAGAGACGCGACCAATGCACTATGGGGCATTTTCATACAACCAGGCGGTCAAAAATATTTCTATAATTTTTTCACAATTTCTGCTATTATTCTTGCTTTGTTTCATCAATATAAGGTGTGCGTTATCACTTTTCAACATTTTCACGACCAACTTTTGAAAAGGGCCTAACTTTTGATTTGTCTATTTTTACGATTTTATAACGGTTACAGTTTCAAGCTTGTTTTCAGAGAAAAAAATCTATTGAAACAAGACAACCTACCATGGTTTTATTGGGGGGAACACCGTAAAAAATGAAAAAAACCTTTTTTTGGAAATATGTTTATTTTTTTTAACAAATCTTCTGTAAAAAAAATACAAAAAGCCATGATACAATAATCAAAATCAAATATGTTTCAACGAATTTCTCTTTATTCCTCTGTTACAATATCATCATGAACAAATTCTTCTTCAATTTCATCGACTGCTTTCATAAGTTCCTCCAAGGCATTGAAGTTATTAGTATCGACTACTAAATCACTTACAGAATTTTCAAATATCATGAAACTTTTCACGATGTCGGGATAATCCAGGGATACTTTTTTCTGTCGTCTTTTTGCCATCCAAATGGAACTGATCAGTGGGTCCGATTCATTAATGGCACGAATAAAGACATCATGTAAATTTTCTACTCTTGATCGTTTTCTTGCATGATGGGATCGATATTTTTTCAATTGTTTATGTTGACTTTCTGCTGCCTCTTCCGCTAATGAACCAAGTGGTGCTGGTGAATGTATGATTATTTCTCCGGCATGAGCGAGAACTTTATGCACGGTTGCAGGAATTTTGTACCAATCATACAATTTAAGATAGAGCCTATATGTTTCCTTGCAATATGCATCAAATTTTTCCGGGTTTATTGGCTCTTGGCAGTTAATAGCAATTAATATATTCCGGAATCTGAAAATTAACTCTTCATCAATGTTCAGCACGGAGCTTAAAAGCTTGGGATTCCCAAATGCTCTTCGACAAACGTTTCCTGTAGTACTGGTACCTGTTCCACCCGATCGTGGTTGATCTAATCTTACTTCAAATTTTTCGTAAAGCTGTGTCGTCACATGTTTTTTTCTTTGCTCATATAGTTTTTTGAACGGTTTCGTTACCTTCCATTTTTTGATATCCATTCTGTATGCAATATGCAAAGGCATTCGAAAAATCTTATCCAAGCATGAAGTGGAGATATGCCGTAATGCAAGGCTCCTTCGTTTGATATAAATCCTTCCTCGAATTTCTCTGCATAATTCATTACATTTGGTGTTGCCCCACATATTGGACAATTCTGCATCGACGAATTTCCAGTGATATAAGTTAAGACTTTTCCGTCTATCATACTGAGGACAAAATCAAAATCAACAAGTATAAACTTGTCGTTTGAGAGTTCAATTTTCACTGGCGTTAGTTCACTCATTTCTTTTTCTATATCCTGTTTTGTAGCCAGAATAACTTCTTTACTCTCTTTAATGAATTCAAGGATGAATGGCCTACAAAATCGAATACTTTGAGGCATGGGATTAAACCACATAATTTCCTTTTGATCATTGTACATGAACATTTGAATTGGTGTTAAAGTGGACGAAAATTCATCTCAATCGTCCTGACATCCTTCTGGTAGCACTTGATGATATTGCGAATATCCAGTTGATCCGTCCATACCCCAGCTACATAGAAGAACCAGTTCCGTAGAAACTAGATCGTTGCTATCCATATACTCGTTGAGCTCTGCATCAATTATTTGGACGATTCGTTTCACTGTATTTTCCATCAGCGCCTGGAGTTTCACTCTTATTTTCAATGCACTTTCTTCGATGAATTCACTAGGAGGGGCGCATATTTTTTTCACTGCTCCGATCACATAGTAAGGTGGAAATCTTGAAGGTGATTCACTATGTATTACTTCGTATTGAAATCTACTCAATCCAGCCTCGATAAGTACACTAAAAGCCTCTTCTGGTGACATCATTCCTCGTTGATCAGTTAGTTGAGCCAGCATGGTTTTAGAGCTTTTTTGGTTTTTTAAAATATGCCCAATAACTTTAACTAAATTAAAATCCTTTCGATTATAAGCGGTCCGTCTTGCAAATAACAAAGCTTTCTCGATGGTATCGAATTTTGGATCAACTGCTTCTTTATCGATGACGCGACGTTTTCCTCTTTCACTCAAATCCAAGAAAGGTTTTGAAGGTCGTCCACGTTTTGTTCCCGAGGCCGAGGTTGAGGCAACACATTGCTCCTGTTCGATGAATTCCTCGATGCCAAATTCTCCATCAAGCCAATTCCGAAAATACGACTCAAATCGCTCTTTCGTGCGATTAGTTTCATGCCATTTGTTGATGTATTTAGTAACGATTTTATGGATCTTTTCATCGAGACGTTTACGTTTTTCCACCGAGATGTTATAATTTTCACAAATGAATTCTATGGCTCTGTGAACATTGTCACTATGGCTTAATTTTGCGTCTAATAGATTAATAATGGTTCTATTATCCATGCTTACACTTGGTCTCAACCGTAAATTTGAATTACACTGTAGTAGTTTAAATAAAAGCTACACAAAATACACTATGGCTTCAAACTGACACTACAGTAGGTTAAGTACAGACTTAGGTATAAATTAAACTCATCCGCGTATATGCGTAGGTACATACTTACGCATATGCTTCTATAATCGTCATAACCCAAGTACTTACTTTGGAATAATGCATAAACGAATGTAGTTTTACGTTCATCCAACAGTGAACTTTATGATAATGATGACTTCATTTTGTACAAAAGCTTAAGCCCTTTTTAAAAGTTGGTCATGAAATATTAGAAAATGTTCTTTAACAATATATTTCGACTATACCAACCGAATATAACTCCAAAAGTTGCAAAATAATTGTTGAAAAAGTTTGTTTCCAAGCCGGCTCTTGTACAATTTGAAATCTCCCATAATAACCGAAAATTTTCAAATCGCTTATATTTCCAATGGGGCAGGCAAACTCTTCAGTACTTGTTAGACTACACTCAAAACTTCATCCAGAGCTGAGAATTAGCCTGGGAATGTGCGAGACTCGAAAGTTTGTGATCAATAAAGTTAAATTTTCATTAATTTTCAATTATTTTTTTCTATTTTTATTTTTAAATTTTTTTTTTGTCCATCAAATTTCCAAATGGATTTTATTTTCGGAAAGCTTATTAAATTACCTTTCCAACGATGTATAATGATGTGGTAGTTATAAGATAAATAGTGGATGAAATTTTATTTGAGTGGTAGAGTATTTTTGCGGCAAAATTTGTACTTTTCTTACTGTCACTGCCAAAAGCTACTTTCTTCTCTGATTAGAGAGTCTTTCGCTTTTGTGACACCTATGCAAAAAAACAGCTTCTTGAAGTTACTTTTTTCTCCGTTAGGAGAGAAGTTTTCACTTCTAAGGATCGAGAGTTTTTCGGATTCAATGAAGAACCTGGAGTAAGCTTCGAACTTAACTTTATTTTCAATTTCTGTACAAAGTGATCTTAGGTCTACGTATTGCATAAGTGATTTATAATTATGTAAAAATCTTTCCTGTTCTTACGGAATTTTCCATGTCCCTTTTAATACCGGGCCTTTCACTAGTTTCCTAACTTTAAGCTGAAAAAATGCCACTTTTCCTTCAAAGGGCTAACTTATATATTGA